TACTAATCAAGGGTGCTCGAAGATTAAACAATCCTCCTTCATCTTGCTCGTGGCATAAGGTTACATTTCAATTAATGGTCAGCGGAGTAATGAGCTGTATGGGCGAAGGGGTAATAGTAGTAATTAATAAATTAATTAATAGTGTTGCGTCAGCGAGGTCACGTGACTAGTATCACGCCACGTTTCTAGAGCTATCCTGTTCCTTCGGGAGTGCTCTAGCATTTGCTAGATTGGGGGTGGTCTGGTATATATAAGATGGTCACGGCGTGACGTGAGAATGTGTGTAGGTAGTGAGTAATTGATCTGCAGTCAGAGAGTATTGTTGAAGTTCGTTATAGCGTTTGTTTTAGCGCGTATGTTGAAATCAAGTGTATCGTAAAGTTATATTCAGAGAGAATAAACCAGTTTTATTAAGTAAGGACTTGTGTCGCTAAAGTTTCGTCGGAATGAAGTTACGGTAAGTTAATTAACAAACTGAGACGTAACAATAGGATAATTAATTAATTTTAAATATATATACATACTTTTGTTAAACAAGACCGATGTCTGTAGGTTTACTTTCTTCTTAGAATTCTTCTCAAGAAGTCGATAAGCCGTCTTAACGTTGTTAGAACAATGGGTAAAAGTTGTAGATAGTGATGAGTTGGCCGACGCGTTTCGAATGCGTTCTGCATACATTATCAAGGCTGAATGTTGTGTGAATTGTGATTACTGTTGGTGGATATTTATAGGTATGGGTAAGCAGGTGGTAGTATCTAGCTCGTAGAAGGCGTTAATTGGTGGAGTGTTGTATTGTGGCTTGGGAGTTTCTCGCCAAGAAGTAGCAGTGTGCATGCTGTTCCTGTCGATTGTTTGTTGATTATGGGAGTTTGCTGTAGGATTTTTATTGCTTCGTGCATTTGAAGAGTTGTGAATTCGCTAAATCGGCGGTTTACTTTGGTGTTTTGTACTCGGTCCTGACGTGTGAGCTTTTGGTTGTGGATGTGGGCACAATGTTCTTTGATGGCTCCATTTTGTAGGTGCATTGTTAGGCGTCTTGACAGCTGCTTACCCATACCTATAAATATCCACCAACAGTAATCACAATTCACACAACATTCAGCCTTGATAATGAATGCAGAACGCATTCGAAACGCGTCGGCCAACTCATCACTATCTACAACTTTTACCCGTTGTTCTAACAACGTTAAGACGGCTTATCGACTTCTTGAGAAGAATTCTAAGATGAAAGTAAACCCACAGATATCGGTCTTGTTTAACAAAATCTGCCTACAAGAAAATCTGTCACCAAAGTACACCAATATATACATACATATATATTGGATGGTCGTATAAGGTGAGGCAAGTAGGCAGTGGTGAAGGCAAGTCCAAGGCGTAGCAGAGGCCGATTAATCTTTGAAGAAGGAGCAAGTCGGCAGGCCGATTTTGACAAGTTATCGAAACAAAATGAAGCAAACGGGCCTGGCGGGGATCAGTGGATCAAGTGCTATCCAATTAACTATCTCGCTTTACTTGCCGCGCTTATATACAAGAATAGAGGGTGTCTAGAATGCACTCGCCTCTTCATGAACCTTCTAGACACTTATCACGTGTTACCAGCGTCACGTGACTTCCGCTGTCGTAACAATATTATAGTAAGTTGCGAGTATTTTTTAACAAATGGCTTCATAGAAAGAAAGAAAAACGCTCAGAACCAGTAAAAGTGTAAAACAGTAGCTTTATAACCAGAGCATACAAATCAGAGCAGAATAGAAAATTCTGAAATTCACATGAATTAGTCTTAAAAAAGGAAGTCAGCCTAATCAGAACACAAATTATAAAATATCGTCCAGTTAGTTATACAGATGATAATTAATACTCGGTTTCAGTACTTGATTACGTTGTTACCGTAGGTTTATGTGCGAAAATTCACACTAGGCTACATCCTGTACAACCTAACCTCACAGGTGTAAATTCTGACTTCCGTTCTCCATTAATTTGACGGATGGTTCTACACAGACTGATGTCCAGACAGCTCCATCTTTTCAATTGGATTTTGTACATTTTGTAGCAGAAGTATTTCAATTCTACAACAATTAGAATCGTCACAAAAGCAGCTGAAAGCCATCTTCATCATAAAACTTTGAATTCCAGGTTGTTCATAATGTCCTAAGCTACCGTGACGATGCTCATATTTTCCCAGTTAAGGTTCTGCAGTGGAATATTTGTTTTTGAATTTCGCTCAGAGCTACACAAGGGCTATCTGCACTAGCCGTTCCTAATTTAGCAGTGAAAGATTAGAGGGAAGGCAGCTAGTCATCACCACCCACCGCCAACTCTTCGGCTACTCTTTTGCCAACGAATAGTGGGATTGACCGTCACATTATACAGCCCCCACGGCTGAAAGGGCGAACATGTTTGGTGGGACGAGGATTCGAACCCGCGACCCACAGATTGCGAGTCGAGTGCCCTAACCATCTGGCCATGCCGGGCTGCAGTGGAATGCAGAGCGTACTAGTTTCTGTGGAGCTTATGGTACGCAGATATTAGTGTCCCTCGTGTTAGAGTTAGTGAAACTGTTCAAATCTCACACTGTTTATTCTTTAACAGCTTGCTCCATTCATAACTTCATGGTGCAGGTTCTACTTACGGCGAACTTGGTTAATATAATTTCAAACTGGAAAACGATCTCTGTTGAAACTTCGCGGCTCGATTTATTAGAATGTTAACATGTGGATATTATTATCAGTTATTTTAACTAGGCCATCCTTTCGATTTACAATCCATGTACTAACTTCAGTTGTTTGATATCGGGTGTTTCTATGGTGATTTTAATGTATATCATTCTGTGTGGGGAACTGATAATTACAAATGGCCAAGCAGTGGAAAACTTTCTCCATAAGCCTTTTAATTCCCCTGAATGATAGCTTTCCTACTAGTTTGGATACTAGAACCGGAAAGCTAGGTTCTATGGATTTGACCTTTTATTTTCCAGGACTTGGTGGAAAATGATCTTGATGAGTTTCCTGATTCTTCCTATCTGAAACGATTGTTTAATTTTCATCAACTTCTGTCTCTCTTCTTAGAGTCTGCAGGACCTCATCATCTAGGAACTTTTTTCTGCTTTCAATACTTAACTTCTGTTATCTCAAATCCAGAATGTTTTGAGTTATTCCTAAAGAGGTTGCTCACTCTAACTTGGCCTTGTTCAAGATCTTTTCACCACAAAGTATCATGGCAGGATGTTAATTGCTGTAATCCTGCTTAGAGTAGGGCGTGAATCTTACGAAGTTTGATAAGTACTGAATATCTTTTGTTGTTTTGGTCGTATCTAACTAATTATGATTGTTCTTTTCTCTTCTGGTAGTTGCTTGCTTCCAGATGTAAATTATCCTTATCGGATTTTCAACAACAAATACGCTACGATCAGTCACAGATTTTCAAGAAATGTAATAAGCATGTTACTTGATTGTTTAAAGAAATTACTCGCTTAATTTTTTAACCTTTTCTTTATTAATATTCACTTGAATATTCCCAAATTAGCTTTTTACTCATCGGCAATTATTTTCGTAATTTATCAATACCGTTATAATTTTTGCAAGTTGATACTAATGACGTTGCTGTTTTGTATTTATGTATTCGTAAACTTCGATACAAAGTCTTACTCAACCACTATTTCAAGTGTACTAGTACTAACATGGTTATTTATTACGTTACTTGACAAGTTATGACAACAGGATTTATAGGCAGTATCTTGTGTGACTGCTTAAAAGTGGTTAAGCACCGAGAAAGCTTATTAATAACTTGTGAGATGTAAACGTGGTTAACAGCTATATATTTTAGATTTTATATTGTTACGTCTCCGTTTGTTAATTGATTTTCCGTAAATTCGTTCCGACGAAACTTTAGCGACACAAGTCCTCTCTTAAATAAAACTGGTTTATTCTTTCCGAATACAACTTTACGATACACTCAACTTCAACAGTCGCGCTATGGTGAATAAAAAGTATTCTTTAACTCAGTACAGGGCTGTAGTAAAATTATCCAAATGTTCCAAGGACTTGTACTTTGATACTATGGTGAATAAAAACTATTCTTTAACTCAGTGCAGGACTGTAGTGAAATCTTCCCGATGTTCCCATGACTTGTACTATAATACTGTTACGTCTCCGTTTGTTAATTAATTTTTCCATAAATTCTTTCCAACTAAACTTTAGCGACACAAGTTTTTTCTTAAATAAAACTGGTTTATTCTTTCCGAATACAACTTTACGATACACTCAACTTCAACAGTTGCGCTATAACAAACTATAATTCACGTCTCTCTCTGACTGCAGTTCAATTACTCATTACCTACTAACACACATTATTGCGTCACGTTGTGACCATCG